TTTCTTGAAGGTAGTGACGGCGATTTCAGACACTGCTCCTTTCTTCCCAGTGTCTGTCACTTCCAGTGTGCCGTTGCACGAGGAACCGATTGTCAATGGGCAACCAATTGGAAAAATTAAGGTCGTGCCAGGAGATGAGACTTCGGGAGTACTGGTTTCAGTTCATGAACGCGGATTCGCTAATGACGCATCGCTCTGCATAAAATTCGGCGGTGGCTTCAATTAGAAATTTGGAAATCGCCAGGTTGTAAAAAGAACAAGGCTGCAAAATGCTGGTGTCGTCGCTGAGAAAGCTATTCCATATCTATAATGTCAGATTGTGCGGCAGAATTACAGTGTATGTGCTTCACGCACAAATGTCAGCGGATTGAAACGCTGATCACCCAGCGGATCATTTACAAATCGCGAATTCCGCCATGATGATTCCAGTACAATTTAGGAGAAACTAACTACTTGTATCCTTTATCCGCAACATCAACGCAGCGGGCGGTTTGACGTAGAGCTCAGGTTTCAAAAGGCAACATACGTATGATATTTGGTAGCCATTAGTCCCTGCTTACAACAGAGCTGGAAGTCGGTCAAATACTCAAAAGGGCTTAAATCCCAAAACATGGGCTTCCAAGTTTTATGTCATCCATAATTATTAATTATCTGTCGTAGAATCGTATAAATAATGTGTTTTTGCATCGCAAGTAATCTTTGAAGAAAGATATATTTTTTTGATAGTAATACATGTAATACAATTTTCGATATTAAATAGTAATAGAAACTCAGTTTTCAAAAGTTAGCATGATATCCCCATATTATTATTATTATTAATATTAAATATTAATATTATTAATAGTAGCTTAGGGGTTTGAAAAATATTAGATACTAGATTATATTTTCCCACCTTACCCTCTGTGAACCGAGAGCTCACCAAGGAACTCTTTTGGGCAAGCTCTAAAGCAGCAGTATTGATGGCAGGTTTTAAAACTGACGAGTAATTGCTCTAGTATTTCACTGTGAAGATGGAAAACTGCAAACGTTGCAGTTGTTTTATGTCGATAGAGCCAAAACAAGGTATTCAATTCTTGTTCTCTACCGATAGCCTTGTCCACAACGTGCGTCTAATAAACCTGCAGCCTGTAACGCTAGATCAATGCGCTCAGCAGTGCCAACACACGACGCCAACCTTGCAGTCACTCCTCACAATGGCTCTCCCCAAGCAGAGCTCCGTTTTTCGGAGTTCTGCATCTGGCAGAATGAAAAATAAAAAACACTTTATTTTAAAAAATATTTGCTTCAACTCTCGACACAGGTACTCTTACTCCTCCTGCTGTGGGTGCCGCTGCACGGCCTGTACGAGTCCGCACATGAACTCACCGGAGAGGCCCTCGTTGAAAAAAAAAACCACGACCTCCACATGTACTTGTCGATGTAGCCATCCAGGTACTTCTTACTGCAGCCGCGCATCGCCTTGATGTGACGTTTGATATGCATTTCCCACAAACCCTCAATAGTGTTCGTATGCGTACCTGAGACAGGGTCCACAAAGTGGAGAGTGTGGTCACCCAACTGTGCTCGTAGTGCATACTCGCCAACGTGCGGTTGTTGGCGAGCGTATGCACTCGTGAAACACGCTCAGCCACGTAGGAAGCGAACATGTCCGAGTGAATCCGAGTTCTAGTAAAAAAAATAATTAGAAATAAAGCTTGAGAAGTAGAGGTTTACGGTACTAACCGAGGTCTGATGAACTTCTTGATAATCGGCAGCAGTGTAGCCTTCGTACGCTCGTCGTACACGATGCGGCCGAACCACCGCCCTGTCGTCCTGTCGACACCCTTAAAAGCCAAAACTATTGGTAGGTGCGACCGTGACCGTACGCATGGGCTGAGTGGACTGAGGGCAGAGCATCGACCGCTCCAGCAGCCCCACCTTCATGGCCCATGCGACTGTCTTCGACTCGTCGGTGGTCGCCTCCATGACGGCGCTGAAGTCGAAGTGGTGGAGCTGCCGGAGGTTGTAGTTGTGGGCCATGGCTGTCGGATTCCTGAATGAGAGTAAAACTGTAACTCTGTGTAGCCAAAAAACGGAGTTGATAAATCTTTATATTTGGAGTTTGTATTCAAAGCCCAAGTTGTGACGTGCGCAATGCGCGCAAAAAACGGAGCTACCACCGCGAGCTCTGATGCACAGTGTATCCTGGTGTACACCACACTAAATACCGAAAGGGAGGTAAAGCACGTCTGTCAGCAAAAATATAACTTTTATTTTTTTTGCGCTCTTGATAAAACGGAGCTCTGCTTGGGGAGAGCCCTCACAATTGTCTCCGGGAATCCATCTCCCTC